GAGTCCTACCTGCTTTCCTGATAAAAGTCGTTTAGTGGTATCAGACCGCTTGTCAGTATACTTGTATATATTCCTCTAAGAGAAGTTTAAAATTTATGGGGATGATGGAACAACAACAAACAAGACTGAGTTCCTGCTCATTCCTGACTCAACCGGAACTTAGGTTGTATAAGTCATTTAATCTTTTCTGTGACCCGTGATCTTCATTGTTATCATATTTTTGGAAGTAGTATGAATGTGGTTACTATATATATTATTTATTCTTATTGTTGTAATGTCCAACCTTGTAAAAACATCACTAAGTTAGAAAGCATTTTGAGGGCAAGTGTCCCTTTTGCTCATTGCTATATGCTAGTATCTGACTATATATGCACTATTCCATAGTTTAGTTAATAAATTATTTTGAGTAAATAAATGGACTTTATTACATGCATGCCTGATAGATAGATAGTATTTTCAACATTACCCATCATCCTATTGTTGAGAGGGTCATATAAAACATACATGTGCCTGGACCTTTTAAAGTGAACAAAATTCAGGTGCCCCTATTGTTATCCTTTATGCAGAGGCTGCTAATCCTATATTTGCTGGTAATTGCATTTGTAAACATATTTGTGGCATCTGAATAATTCTCTTTCCTCTGTCCAGACATCAACTAATGCTGAGTTCTATGTAATTTCATACATTTTAATCTAGAAATGCATACAGTTCCATCATGATATCTAATTACTTTTAAAAACAAAATACTAGACATATGTCTAGACATATGAATTATTAGGCTTAATATCACAATGCTTTATTATTTTTAGGAAATAAGGTCTGTCAAAAACTGTATTTTTGAAACTGTTATGAGTTGTTAAATGCTGTCACAAACGGGCCTTCAATCTGATGTATGGGGCTTATTATCACAGGGATGTGTACTGTCATATGGCATTATGACACTTGAACTCTAGGGAGAAATTTGGGTGCAGGGACTGGCCAGTATGTTCCAGCCTTCTTCCTGAGGCTGTTTAATGCTTGCTGTGTTTTGACCCCAATTTTCCCAAAGCACATTCTCTTCTCTCATCCTATATTTCAAATGCCCCCTAATGCATCGTTAAAAGTTGGGGCAGATCCTAGGAGACCATTAAGACATTCTTCTGTATTTTCCATTCAATTCTACTCCAACTTCTAGAACGTGAAAGAGACATTAATTCTAAACTCAACTTCCTTTAATGAAATAAATATTTTTAAAATCAGCTAGTTAGAATTTCTTACAATAGAAATTCCTGCTCTTGTAGTTTTAGTACTTTTAAAAAAATTAACCTCCGAGAAAAAGAAGGCTTGTCAGATATTGTTTTTTACATGTTGTCTCCATTATAACATAACTGTTTGTATTGCATGGAACAAGATCAATCTCAGCCAAAGTGTGTTTCCAAATGTAACATAAAAGAGAGAAATAGGTGTCTCAAGTGCTAACATAGTAGGTAAGAAGGATACCTAGCTCTTCAATGCTTGCTAAGTCACATACTAATAATATATTCTTTGTGCTCTGGAGGAGCAGAGAGGCCATTTGTGGGTCCCATGTTCCTCATCAATTACTCTGAAATCACTCCTCACCTAAATGGCACCCAGTGAATCCCAGGATGCTAGGAAAGAAGCATCCTGGGGCTCACTAAGTATCATTGGTTCTTTTCTTTTCTTTTCTTTTTGGTCGGTCGTGGGGCTTGAACTCTGGGCCTAGGTGCTGTCCCTCAGCTCTTTAGCTCAAGGCTAGTGCTCTACCACTTGAGCCACAGCACTGCTTTCAGCTTTTTCTGCTTATGTGGTGCTGAAGAATCAAACCCAGGGTCTCATGCATGTTAGGCAAGCACTCTACCACTGAGACACCTTCCCAGCCCCTGGTTCTTTCTTGTTTCTTTCTTCTCCCACAAAACGTACTGTTATTGGACACCTTTATGCTGTTAAAATGGATGCTAAAACAAGAGATGAGAAAATGAATTAGTTGGTCCCATGGATGTTGAGAATGCCTGGGATTGAAAACTAGCAGTTCAGACATCAAATGAATCATATTTTCAATTCTCACTCAAAAAATCTAAAAATCACAGATAATACTTTAGACTGTTTGATAGCTCTCCATTCAGAAGAAAAGGTCCAGTGCTAGGGAAGTCAAGTCTCAAGAGATTTGTCAATCCATGAATTTTGACTGTGGTTGTTAGTCTAATTTATAATTTCTGGCTGATTGTGGAGGCAATGTTCTCTGACATAAAACATTTCAGTCAATTAAATATCATAGTTGTTACTCCTCTTCCTACTCCCTTCTTCTTTATGGTCCACTTAGACCAATTGCAAAGGACTAGTTTTTGTGTCTTATCTTTTTTCTAAAGTAGGATTTTAAACTAAATGAAGGCCAGCAAGCAAATGATAGTTGAAAAAACTGTACAAGCTTTATAAAGATTTAGAAATGGGTAGTTAGCGACATACTGTCATATCCTCTAGACCAGATTTCCCATCTGGGAAAAGCTTCTAGTTTTCCAGTTTTAAAAATTCTATCAAACACATGTGAAAATTCTTATTCTTATTTAAAAGCTATATTCAGCTGAAGGTGACAAAAGAACATACATCTATTTAGCAAATACAACCCACTCAATTTGAAGATAGTATCATCTTTCACTGATTTCTGTGCTGCTTTTGTAGTTACTGTATAATAGAGCAAATAAAATGTTTCACTTGAATTAATACTTACGGAAAATGTGGAAAGACAACTAATTTGGATGAATCAGTCAATGAGTGACTATACAGATTTTGAGTAAAACAACATAAAAGAAATGAAGTACAAATACAAGTTATTTCTCTACTCTTTTTAATCCAAATCTGGAATGTCCCACAGTAAGTAAGGTCAAAACTGTTGGGCCACAGGTCTAATGGTGTGAGAGTAAGGGAAGGAGGCAAATAGGGAATGTAGCAGAGGGAGAAGATCATGCAGGATTAAAATACCACACATCTACCAAAGAGATATAATGTACACTCATTTTTAAAATTTCTCCTTACTTGTGTCCTCAAGCTCAATCTTAGTTCTCTTTCCTTATTTGTACTACTGTTTCTCTTGACTGCTGTATTCCACTAACTAGGAACTAACTCTTTGTATAGTGAGCATTAATTCCAGTGGATATGGGATTCAAGTGCTGTAAGAAAATGCTTGAATCATCAAATTTTTCAATATATATTAATTGAGTACTTTATAGGTATAATAGATGCTATGAATATAACCCAGGCTTCTTCATTTGGATCTTCTATTTCTGTACCATTTTTCATTGATTTATCCCTGCTACCCTTTGAGAATTTTTTCTACTTCCTTTTTGTCTTCCTTACTTTCACTGCTATCATTGGAGGAAACACAATCCCTAAATATAACAATGTAACTTAGATGAAGCATTAAGCACATTCAGTAACAATGTTAGAATGTTAATAATACTCACCAACTGTTTGATTAGCTCAAGTCACATAACCAGTGGAAGGAATGAAGTGACCTTTAACCTTTACTATTTTATCCTTTTACCTTTAACTTCTGTTGAAGGTAAAGACCATAACTCAGGTAATAAAAACCTTTGGTAGAGTATTGTTACACAAAGGCAACAATAGCGTGTGGGAAATGACATCAGGCAGGAAATCAAAGCGATGATGGATACTGCTCTTACAAACCCTTTCCAAACAAGGGTATCCAAACTCTGGATACCCTTGAGCAAATAACTGTCACAAAGCTTACCTTACACCATGATTTGCAATTTTTTGTCAAAACTGCGATAGTATATGATATTAATATTAGACAATTGTGGGTGAAAGATTAATTATATTACATAAAAAAGGCTTTGTTCTTTGGAAGGGGAAATGTGCTATGTAATAATCTATTATTTATTACTTCTTCAGATGTCATGACTTAGTAAACTTATCATATATAAAAATAAAAGTCTTCATTACCAAGTTTGCAGCTCACTTCTAGGCTGCAGTTCTTTTGGAGCCAGCACCTATAAGGCACAATCAATAAGATCCTTTCCTACGCAGTCTTTTTGTCTGAATAGGTTTTCTGAACTTTCCTTTTAGAATAATGGATTTGCCCTTCTCCAAAGGCCCTAGGTGGCCATGAGAAGTAATTCTGGAACCTCTCTTCAAATGCTACAAGGATTTTGAGAGAGGAGAATAAGATGTGGGTGTATACCACAACAAAGAAGTCCCTAAAGCCAAGGTCGAAGACAAGGAAAGGAACCAGTCCTTTTAATCCCCTTTAACAGAAAATGTTCTTGAGTTAGCAACAGAAACAGATGACACATCCATCATGGGCCTGAGGGACAGATGTAAGAGTGACAAAGCCTATTAACCACTTAGTTTCACTGTATCCAGGCTAGGAAAATGTTTTCCTCTCTTTCCACTGAAAAAACCTACTCAGAAAAGTTGCAATGTTATATTCAAGCAACATAGACTGGTCATACAAGGTACACTCATCAGTAGTCTGTTTCCAAGTATACATAAAGTTCTTCTGTTAAGTAATTTTGAGAGAAACTCTGTGAAGATATTAAAACATCAAAAACTTTTCTTACTAAACATATTTCCATATTTATTAGTAATGTCTCTCTCTCAGAAAACATCACTCTTTTAAAGTCTACAATACAAAACAATGATAAAAAGAATAGAAAGGAACAACAAGTTAGTATTTTTATCCATTTCCCAATTTTGTCTAAACACAAGTCTGTACTTATTCTCATGCACATATGCTTACATATATATGTATATATAAATTTACACACACATATATACTAAATGTACATATTTCACAACACGGAATGGCAACATATCAAATGCTTAGAGTTTGCGCTAATCCATTTTTCCTGGGAAGGAAAATATGTTAATATTATGAAAATAAGACATGAAAAGGAACATGCTACCACTGAGGAGAAGACAGGACTGAGGCGCGAGAAGAAACAGGAAGAACACAAAGAACGTAAAGAACAAAAAGTGTCATTGACCTGATTTGTCAGAGCTGTTGCCTGTGATTGGAGTGACGGAGCAGCTGGGATTAGCCTTTGCGCTGTCCTTGGAAGAAACCATTTTGGGTTTATTTTTCGTTGCCTCTAGTGCTTTGACCTTCTTGGCATGTTTACTTCCTTTGTAGTGGGCCTCGGCCTGGCTCTACAAAGGAGAACAAATCAGGCTCATTTTTTGCTACTTACAAAACAACACGATGGATGATCATGCAGGAAAAAGTACATTCAATCATAGGCACCACAGACATTTACAGCTCAGTACTTAACTACATTTCTGACATGTAGTGAAGTAATAGACCGATATCTAAGAGGATTTAGAATAGCAAATCCCTCTATAAAACACAGAAGATTATGTCTCTACATACTAGCAATTGTAAAACTGTGAGGAAGATAAGCTTTGTCATCAATGGCCTCCCATGACTGTCCATTGTGGCTATTTTCAAACACTGGCTGACAGTAGCTACCTCTGAGTGCCTTACCTGTGCATGTGGGCATGACCTTTCACAACCGTTGCCCTTCAGCTAAAGACCCATTCTGTCCTGTATTTGGGCTATGCTCTGACACCAGATGGTGTGACAAAACTTGTCAATAAACGCTACTAAGTCAAAATGACACTATGTTTCAGAAACATCACATGTGCTTTATGTATCATTTCGGTGATTCCAGTTCCAGAAACAAATAATATATACCATAAAGGAGGGAAAATCTTTCATTTCTGAAATATGATTGATGAATCAAAGAAATTAATGTTCAATTATGTGCAAAGCATAATTGTGATATTAATGCTAAATCAAAAGGAGGGAAAAAGGGTAAGGCAAAAGACAAAATAAATTTCAATAAACTTAGAATATATTTACTGACATTTGGAAAATTTCTCTTGGCCTAAACAAAGTTTTTATGTTTTTTAGTATCTAGTACAAACATACACATTAGCGAAATAATCTAAGTAAGTTAGTCCATTTAGATTTCCTTCAATAGACTAAAAAATATAAACACATATTTGGTAAGTGTAAAACAAGACAAGTTTTTGTTAGTGGATGTTGAAAGTAATAAAAACTTTTTACATTCTTTTTCTTTTTACATCTTGTTTGTGGTTGGAGAAGACAGGGGCCAAATGAGGCTTCACACATACATGATCACACTTGCAAAGCCAAGTCACACATTGGCAAAAGTGAGCTAAATAACAAAACATATATGTTATGAGATATACAGAACTAAAAGTGAAGTGAATCAGTGAATTAGTCCAAAAATTGGCAGACTTCTGATTTGAGATTTGAAGAAAGGGATATATAGACTGGTAGAGAAAAGCACATTTAAGGTGGCAAAGTATTGGCCTAGGAAATGACTGGCACTGGTGTACTAGAACAGTGGGGATAGCTAGAGAGAAGGCCTTTTAGTATAAGCCAAGGGAACCAGATATGCTCCATGTGGAGAACTATGTCACTGAGATGAAATTCTCAAGAATGTGTGATGATAAAACTTTGAATGGGAAGATTTCCATAACAATTATTTATACATGTTATTGACTGAATATGAAAAAGAGAGATGAGACAGATAATAGGCTTTTAAGACAATACGTGATACTGAAAGCAGAGGGCATAAATAGAATGAATTTGTCTTAATTATAATAGTATCTTAGAATTTCCTGAAACCTTGGTTACTACTGGTTGTGTTGACTCGTGCTATTTTAGGAACTGTTTCACTGACAATTACCATATGTATATGGCACGTTTAGACTAAGCTATCCATTTTCTGACTTCTTGTCTTGTTTCTTTTCAGTTAAGCAGGCATATTTTTTTTTTTACTACCTTCAGACTTGGTTCAGTAGAACTGGTGACAGTGAACACCATTTCAATACCTACACCATTTCTAAGTCTTGGAGGGTGATAAAGCCAGCATATCTCAAGTTCATAAATGATGATGAAGTTGTTGGTGCTAAACATGATAGCAAACGCAACCACAAGTGGCAAGGATCATGCAGTAAGTTAAACACTGTAACCATGCATTTGCTGTCCCATCAGAATGCAAACATGATGATAAGACTCATGTCCCATTCTGAATTTCTGTGGTTTTTATTTTATAAGGGGTAGAGGTAGTTAGATACTGTATCACCTTTGTAGTCATGTAATCTAGAGATAGTTTTTTTTTTCCATTGCCACTGAAAACATACCAGGGATTTCCTTAGGTTATCACCTCTAGCATCCAAAGTCTCTAGCCTTATGCTCACTGCTCAAAGCCCCAAACTTCCTAACTGCCTGAATATTTCCGCCAAAATACCTTTCAATCTTTACCTAAATTATTGTCACTTGGTTTGCTCAAGGGCACCGCAAGTTGCCTGTCAAAAAACATCTCAGTTGAAGAGAAAAGTATAACATAATATTTATTTGTAAAAAAATGGTTAAATCTAGCTAGTGTGTTTGAGAAAGTTATAAGTTAAAGAAGTAAAAAAATATGTTGATAATGTAAAGTAATAATAATGGTGATTAATATTATTGAGCACTGTTCCAGGCATCAAACACTTTCCATGTATTAGCTCATTTCATCCTCCTAATACTCTGTGAGATAGAAAACCAGCATGACAAACAGGACATACAGAATGTAACTAATTTATCAAAAGTTACACAGGTAGGTATAGAGCCTTAGTAACTCAACATTTCTTAGACATATTTCCTTCATTAATTATGTACCCACACTATTAACTGTGTAACTTTATTGGAAGTGAAAAACTATATTGGGCACTGGTGACTCACTCAGGAGGCTGAGACCTGAGGAATTCGGTTTGAAGCTAGACTGAACAGGAAAGTCTGTGAGTCTTATCTCTAATTAACCAGCAAAAAGGCAGAAGTGGAGGTATGGCTTAAATGATAGAATACCAGCCTTGAATGAAAAAGCTATGAGACAGCATCCAGGCTCTGAATTTATACCCCAGCAATAGGCACTAGTGCACTCGCAGGTGCGTGCATGCACGCGCGCGCACGTACACACACACACACACACACACACACACACACACACAAGAATGAAAAACTGAAAATTACATATGAAGAAAAGGCACTGCTTTTAATGATTAAACCTTAATGCCACGGAAATTGCTGGGAATAAACACTATTCACCTAATGTTTAGGAAAGATACTGATGTACAACATTAGATGGGATCCTTTGGTAAATAGCTAATACAGTCCCATATTTGAGGTATGCAACAATTTCTACAAGATAACAGCAGCACACCTCTTAAAAACTCATGTTACCAAGTATATGCTAAGCAGTGCAGAGTCACAGAATGCCCTTTGGCTAACTGAAAACAGATTGCTCTAAATAAAACTTCCAAGTACAAGATAGACAGAATATAATTTCTCATGACTATTTCCTGGCATTACTGCAGGAAGTTAACAGCATCAATTAGCACTTACATAATGACACAGCTAAGTGACACCTCTCTGGATGCCAAGGTGGAAAGAATGCTCTAAAACCACGACCCACTTTCTCTCTGAGTAAGGGGCATGTAGAGAAGGTAACAAGAGTCCTCGTGTCCACTGACTGTTGTTTGGAGGAAAGTAGGGTGCAAGAATGTAGAACAAAGAGAGTTCAAGGCACCACTCATTCCAGTATGGCATCTTTCCAGGTCCTTGTGGTATTCTTGGTAGTGGCACTTTGCTCTCATAAGTTCTCTATCTGAGACAGTGTCAACAGCTTCTGCCTCCTGGGCAAATCTTCAAGTGAGAGTGAGACACTGTTAAACAGCAGTGAAATTGAACTGACTTCATTATCTAGGAAACTCCTTAATTGAAGGGTGAAAGAAACAAGGACAAATGCCAGAGTCCCACAAACCAGTTGACCTGCCAAGTTTAGTCAATAATGGCTCCTATATCACTTCTCAGATACTCAGTTGGTGGAGCTGACTTATTTTACACTCACTAAGCAGCAAGAATGGCTTGCTTCTCATCTACACAAGCTACTGTGCCCCCATCTGGTAGATGCCAAAGAAATTTATTGGCAAGAATTGCCAGAATTAGGGTTGGGATGGTAACTGAGTGTTAGTAGAATGTGTGCTTGAATAGTAGTAGAATGTATACATGGCCTGAGTTTGATCACCGGTACCTCAAAAAGGGGAAGGGAAAAGAAGGTCCTATAAAGAATCACAAGACTTTACCCTGACCTCCCTATTAAAAAATCCTAGGTTTCTGGGTCTTCTTTGGAGACCACTCCAGTTGTTACCCACCAGAATACTTACTGCCTAGCATCTGTAGAATAGCATTCCCAGGAAAAGACATACTACATTTATTTTTTCATACATTAGTCTTCTTTGGTACCAAAGCTCTTCACTTTCCCAAATCCTCTATAATTCTTAGGACCCCACTGGTCCAAATAAAATATGATGAAATACCATATTGCTTTAAAAATAAAAATGTAACAAAATATTCCCAATGAGAAATTTCTAAAATTCACTGTGTTCTCATTTTTAGTTTGACCTTATTTCTAATTTGTACTTCAGAGAGATAGCTAGGATCTTGAATTAAGATTTTAAAAATATCTTCAGTTTGTATGGAAAGAATAGTGTAAATATAAACTCATAAGGAGATTGGGGAAAGGCAACATCCCTGGAGAGAGTACCCTATTTTTTAATAGAACTAATCTTTTTTTTCACTTTAAAGAAGTAATTAAATCTGTTTCCTTAATTAAAGAAAATATATCATCAAAACTACACATTTTTTTTCCTAAGACATGTCAGTGTATTATGAAGCGTTATGAGGGAAATAGCAGAAGTCAGTAAATTTAAAAGAACAAAACAAAAAAAAAACTTATACTCTAAAATGCCAAATAAAATGTAGGTCATGTAAACTACCATAAAACAGGCTCTGCTAACAAGGGAAAACTAGATTATTTATTTTACAAGGAATTATTTAGCAACTGCCATGTGTTAGACATAGTGAAAATTTAAAATAAAGACTTTCTACTTGAAGAATGGTAGAAGGAAGAAAAGAAACATACATGTGACTATGACCCAAAATCCAGGTTAGAAAATAAAGGGGAGAAAGGGTGGAAAATAGAAAACATAGAATCATAACAAACTATAGAAGTCAGAAGAGAAGAATCTCTTCAGGTGGAATGTTGATGGAGGCTCATGGAAAAGAGGCCTCAGAAGTG